GAGCATGCAAGGGTAGGGCTCCCAACCATTGTACCGAGCGAGCCAAGCACAACCTTGACTCCAGAAACCATGCTCCTGGCATCTCCTGGCACTACCCCTTCGCCTGCGGTTATCTGGCCAGGCGGGCAACAGCGGTCGAACGCGAACGGCAAACGGGGAGCACTTTGCTGTGACCCGACGCTCGCGTCACCGTTGACCCGCACGGGACACTGGGACACCCACAGCCGTGTGCGGATGCAATCGACGGCACGGCGCTGCGAATCGCGAAGCGCTGCAGCCCGAATTTACACGTGGTGGGCCACAGCGCCTGCCCAATCGTGTCACAAGCACGGCTCTTGAAGAGGCGTCAACGCGCAAGCACTTTCGCACCTTTGCAGTCGCCCGCCGCCGGTTGAGTTGCCGCGGGAGCGGACGTACTGAACGCGGTGGGATGCGAAAGGGCAGCTTTAACCGAGAGGGCCTGATGCACGTTTCCCTTCCTTAGGACGGTCTTCAGGCTGGCGGACATCAATACTTCGATTGACCATGCAAGGAATGCAAGGAAGCTCGAAGCCAAACAAATCAAGGGTTGTTCCTCTAAACTATTCTCCAATAGGCAGACCTAGGGTAAGCAAGCACCAAACATGCCGAAATAGTCGGATTTTGAGCGCCTAAGCCTCCCGCCCTACCAGATTGATTACGCGCTTCCAAAGCCCCAATCCCAACCGTTGAAGCCCAACACGCCTGCACCCGGAATTTCCCACGCGAAAACCTAACATCAACCCTACAGGAACGAAAAATCGCAATGACGCATTTATACATAGGAGCCACGCCACGACCCTCAGCACTCACTCAGACAAGAATTTTCACTAATTTTGACCTGTCGATTTTGGGACTCAATGTCCAAGGTTTGGGCACGTTTAAAACATAGCAGCTTGTACACCTTGTCACCGGAACCTTCTATACATGGAGTCCCGTTACCGTTAAGGTCTTGGCCGCACATAGGAAAAAATTACTATCTCTTCTGAGTTGTATCAGGCAGCCACAGTGGAAACGGTTGTGCTGTTGCTTGGCCGTGAACAAACGGCAAGGAACTGGGAAAGGACGTCGCACGGATACGGGGCGGCGCAGCTGGGTCTGTTTGTTTTGGAAGGGTCGTCCTTTGTGGCCACAGCGTGTAGGCCATGGAGGTCATCGCGCAAGCGACCGTGTCGGTGGCCTGTGCTGGCGTCAGGACGAGGCGCTGGCCAGCTTCGGCTTCAGGAGCTCCGAGACGTTTCCTCCGATCCGGCCGAGGCCCAAGCGGCAGTCAGTCAATCAGTCAGCCAGTCAGTCCGTCAGTCAATCAATCAGTCAGTCAGTCCGTCCGTCCGTACCCGGAGGAAGTATCCCCGCAGCGCGGCACAAAAATGAAGCAATTGCCACGTGGCCTGCAGGCCAACTCTTCCGAAAGAATCGCTGACCATCGCTGACCTGTGCTTGGCTTCGGCAAACCCTGGTCGGGACGAGGCCCTCCAGGCTGCAGAAAGGGCCCGCACAGCATCACGGGCCTTCGCTTGCCACGACCTCCAAAAGAAGCGAGCCCAGCTGACGCAGGCGGACTTGCGCCCATTGTTGCAGCGCCACGAGTGCGGCATAGAGGGGACGGACGCACTCGGAGTTAATAACAGCAGCATGTGTGTCGTCAAAACGAAAGCGAAAGGGAGAAGCGCGGCGTAAATCTGGCACAACGGTGTGCTGTGCGAGGCTGCACATTGCGGGCATCAGGATGCATCAGGGCAGACATGGGCAGACCCGTTCGCCTCGGTCACCCGGTTGGACAGCACGAATGTGACGGTCCTTGCCACGGCTGGACAATTGGAACTGGTGGACACAAGGACGGGCTGCAAGGCGGCGCCGTGTGCGACTTCGTTGAAGGCGCTCTTGGAGCCGGCATAGTGCTGGGCGAGGCTGGCTGTTCCCAACGCGCTCGCACTTGGCGAGCACAGGGCCTTTCTCATCATCTACCTAAGACGGTCCGACGCGAGAATGCTGGTTTGCTATGCCGGATGAAGCCGCATGGGCCCGCTGGGAATCCCCATCCATCCCAAGCGGGCGGCAAATCTGGATTTACCAGTATGCGCCGGGCGGGATCCCGAGTTTCCGCTCAGAAGCCGCGAGTGGCTCCGCGACGAACGTGTGCGCGGGACTTGAGGCGGAAAGCTCGCCGAGATGAACAAGAGCGGCGGCATGGCATGCTCTCGGAGCTGCTCTCGTTGACTCAGTTGGCGGGTAGGCGTGCGCAGGCACCGTGCACGTCGACTTTTTGTCGAACGTATTAAGCTGCCGGGATGCGCCGGGGGACCAATGGAGTATGGAGCAGCCCCGGACTTCACAGTTGTACTCAGACAAGCTACTCGGAAGCGATGCCTTCTTAGACGAAAGCGCGTTCTCGTCACTTCCTGCATCGCCATGGCCAGTCGGATTGCCTCGCTTCCTGGCATGCTCCATGCGTCCAGCGAGGCGAAAGCAGCGCAGAACCCAGGAAGGACGAACCGTGGAGCATCATCCGCACTGCAAAAGCAGGCGACCGTCCTTCGCGAAAGCCAAGGCGAAAATTTCGGGTGAGCAATGCTTTGGTATTTCGCCACAATTACAGGAATGGTCGACGACGTACTTGACTTCGTTTGGTCACAACGGATGTGTGAAAGGCTTGCTCTTTTGATGACTGCTGTCCTTTCGCATATTTTCTCGTGCAATGCAACCATTTTCAACGGCTGCATCCCAATACGATCTACGACCTTGGCAGTTGCTCGCTGGTCCAGCATAAAGCAGGAGTTGCGGGCTATCTGTTCGTTGCGGCCTACGCAATTAACAAACAATCTAGAAGTGAGACTCTGTCGTCCTCACGCCGCTTCCGCTTGAAAGCGCTCTGCTATGAAGTCAAACCTTCAGGAAAAGCACAGCGATCACAAACTTCAGCTCTGCGTGAAAAACAACATCGCTGCCCAGTACGAAAGCCTTCGCGGATCGCGGATCGGCATTGAGAAACTCCGGTACCTCAGTGCACAAGGACCAAGACCTGCCTCCGCATGAGCTTGCATAAAACGTGCTTCTGCGGTCTGCCAGAAAGGTTTTCCATCGTGCCAGTGGGTCTTTGGACCGCAATGTGCCTAGTACCGCGTTACACTTGAAAGCCCTACAATGCCCTGTGCAGAAATTCTTCTCGAATATCATTCAGCAATTGCTGACTACATGTTTGCAACCCGAAATCCACCCACGAATCCTCAACGTACAGGATATAGGGTTCAGGGTTTGAGGTTCGGGGTCTGGGGTTTAGGCTTTAGTTGCCGAGCTGGCGGCTTGTCTCCCAGCTTTGCAGGAGCTGCGTCGAAGCGCTGGCCAGAGCCGAAGTCCTGAGAGCAGCGGGGGATTTAAGAGAAGACATCTGCCCTTACAACCTCAGTTGTGATATCGGCACCCCCACGCTATGCCTACCTGACACAACCCGTCTCATACATGGCCCACTTGCATGACTACCCTCAGTTCAAGTTTCGAACAAGCAAATAGCGTTTTTTGTAGTCATCGTCGAGACCAAGATGAGTCTTGCTAACGGTAAGGGTGTTTATTCTGTTGCTGTCGTTGCTTTTTTGCTGTCGTTGCGGGGGCGCGGTTTTTTTTGCTGTCGTTGCGGGGGCGCGTTCTTTTTTTGCTGTCGTTACGGGGGCGTCTTGTTAACCAGTGTGAACATAAACGAGTCTTTTGCTGTGAAAGGCTCTGAAACATGTATACCGGTGCTGCGAAGATGTTGTGAGAGGGCTCCACCTACAACTCTTAAGACCGGCCGTGTGCTTTTGAACCACCGGGTCCGACGAAGTCGCCTGCAAGGCCGCCGGAATCGCCATGTCCGAGAACCTTTCCCATCACAAAGAGTGAAATCACAAAATCCAGAGTTGGTCAAGGCATCAAGAGGACGGCCGACAGTTGAAGGAGCACACCGAGCTTTTCTCATTCTTGACGGAGGCCCAAGGACTGGGCTTGTTGGACGCATGGAGGGAGGCAGAGCAGCTGGATCGAATCCGGTCGTCCTTGGCACTACTTGGCACTTCTCTATACAAGAACTCTGCTTGAAGCGTTCATGCCTGAACCGGAAACATGCAGGTGCTATGTCGCCCACATCAACTTTTTTACAACATGCTTGCGCACTAGAACCTCGAAACGCTTCCTGACGGCCTCATGAACATGTTTGAACAGGCCTCCATTCCCGCTCGCAGTGCACTCGATGTTTTCTCTCGCGCAGGCAAAAGTTGCACAGCTCAAGCGAATGCCAGAAAGAGTAATCGGCAGACTCCGCCCTAAAAGCGAGCTCAGAAGCTCGAGCAGCGAGGCCTTACACCCAGCCGATAAAACTCTGCCTGTCCTGCTTCGGCATTTAGCCGGGCGGGGGGGCGGGCGAAAAAGCTTCAGTCATTCCGCCAGTTAAAACATGCTGTGACATGTTTGAACAGGCCTCCATTCCCGCTCGCAGTGCACTCGATGTTTTCTCTCGCGCAGGCAAAAGTTGCACAGCTCAAGCGAATGCCAGAAAGAGTAATCGGCAGACTCCGCCCTAAAAGCGAGCTCAGAAGCTCGAGCAGCGAGGCCTTACACCCAGCCGATAAAACTCTGCCTGTCCGCCTTTGTGCAACACCAGCCGGAAGTGAAGTGGACGGCGCGTCCGCAGTCAACTTGATGCCCGAAGGCCCGGCAGCGAGAGGCTGCGTAGTTACGTCGAAGAGACCAGAAACGGAAAAATTGAGGCAGCAGCAAAGACAGCATGTCTGGCCTCAGGACCTGCATCCAGGATGCAGTTGAGGGCTGCGACTTCTTGGAGGTAGAAGCTCAAAGTTTGCTGGTGCTTTAGCCTCATACGCCATTGTATGTCGGAGACCCCCAATCCTCTGTGATAGGCCCATACTGCTCCCCCGCCCCGCAGCCCGCCCGGCGTTAGGTCGAGTTTGGTGTCGAGCCCCAGGATCTGGCACACGTAGTTCCACCGAGACCTGTAAGCTGCTGGGCTGAAGGGGTAGAGCTTTTCGTCGCCCTCGAGTTGGCAGAAGACTTCAGAAAGGATTTTCACGGCGATCGGCTCATCGACTCGCAAATGCTGGATCTTGGCCCCGCCCCTGAGAGAGGATTTAGGACCTTCAAGCTTTAAAAACACCACTTCCAGCTCAGAAAAGTGGTCAGCAGGTAGCAGCAGATGACGCCGAGACGCCTTCAGTACCTCCCCGATTCTCGCCAACCCATAAAAAGCAGCGACAGTGGCGCCAGCCCACCTGCGAAAGCCTTTGCATCACGCTACAGTCACAACGGCCTTCACTACGGCTTCAGGGACCGGGGTGCGATGCTTCACAGGTTGTTGCCGTTCCCAACGCGAAACCAGCTCCCAAGCTGGACCCAGCTGTCCGCGAACATTCCAGGATAAGCGTTGTCCAGCGAGGATCGCATACCGCAGCGTTTGCAGGGAACCCCCAGATTGGAAGAGCCAGTTCCCATAGGATCGAAGGGCCATGGCCATCAGCGCAGGGCAGCTAACGAAGACGGGCTCGGGGTCGAACGACAACGAACGGGAGCACCACGCCAGGAAGGAAGCCCAAGCCCGGAGGCCGAGGGACTCGGAGACACGGGAGTACAGAGGCTGGGATTCCAAATCCAAGGACCGGTTGATTGCGGCGGAAGGCCGAGGCCCGGGATGAGACGCCTCCCCAATCCGGCAGCAATTCGGGATCTTGGCGCACGCCGCACGATCAAGCGGGCGTTCGGAAGTCCAGCCCGCGTATGCCGCCAAAGCCATAGCCACTGTGGTCTCGTAACCTCTGGGCCGGTTCTGCGCAACAATGGTCCAAGAGCGCTGGTGTGCACACGAGAACCCAAACAAACGCCGGTGGCCGGAACCAGAGCAGAGCAACCGGGCCCCAGCCAAACTAGTGTTGGTAGCTATGCGAGAGCGCTTTCGCCAAGGAGCACCCAAGCGACACAAGTCGAGCCGCCAAGTGTGGGGAGAAGCGCGATCTGCTTCGTTAGCCCACCCATTCTGGAGCCACCAAAACGAAGAATCAGGACAATCAATCGCATAGCCGATCCCAAGCTCTGCACAGAGCGTTTTGACGTCAGAGAACCACCTAGCTAGACTGTTGTCCCGCAGAACCTTACGCCACGTAGTCGGCGCCATGTGTGCCACGCCCTCCGGTTTGTCAGAAGACCTCGGGGAAGGACGATGTGCGCGAGACATCGTGCTCGCCAGAGGGGCTGCGTAGAGACACAAGAAGACCCCTGCACGCAGCAAATGCATGATTCGCTCGCGGACCTCAGGGCGGTTTAGGTCCTCGTCAAGGGATCGCCCCGGCTCAACGTTTAAAACCCAAGGACAACCAGACTTAAGCAAGCGCCTCGCGAGCCCTCCGTGCCCGCCGTAAAGCACGAGAGCACCAGGCACTGAAAAGTCGGGTACAGGGCCATGGCACAAGACGCAGCGCGAGGGCAGAGGCAAAGGTATGTCGGCAAGGGGTGTTGAAACTGAGGTAACGCGCCTCGCCTTTCTTCCTTGAGGACGGTGACGGTCTCTGACACAATTGCGTGCAGCTGGTTTCAACGACGAGCTGCTGCGGAGCCCAGGAGGCACTTCCCCTGCCAGCTCGAGCAACTGGTTTTGATCAAACTCATCCCCATCGACACCGAACCCTGCAGCAGAGGTCGCTGCCTCGAGGGCGGCCGTGCTACCACGACACAGAGGACCCCACCAGGAGGGAGGATCAGAGCATGGCCCACGTACCGCTTTTCCCCGGGTGGGATCATCAGCGGGATTTAGGGAACTTGGAAAATAAATTGGAGCCGTCTGAATCTGAAATCCAAGAACACCCGCGATTGATCGGCAAAGCATGCTATTGAGTCGTGGCGACGCAGAGCGACCCTTAGCCACGCACCCTATGCACACCTGAGAGTCAAGCGCAAAGACATGCCTGCAGCAAGGAGCCCTGGCACCGGCGCGTGCTTCTTCCCTCAGGAACGCCTCGAGTTCCCCTATGTTAATGTGCACCTTCCCGCCATACTCACGCTTCCACAACTCACGATAGCGGGGTACGACAGCAAGGCCACAGTACAACGGAAGCGCCTGGTACACATCACCGCCCGGGAGCTCGCACTCCTCACTCAACAACCCGTGCCCTTTCAACCAAGCGCCAGGTTGCGAAAGAAGCCTCGTCCAGGCCCCCTTTTGAACACTTTGACGGAAAGCTTCAAGGGCAACGTGTTTTGGCAACGGGGCGCGAACGGCAGCTTGATGGGTCGAGGAAGCATCGGTGGCCGTGATCATTGAGTCCACCGGGGCCCGAAGGTTCACAGCACACAAAGGTCCGAGAAGAGCAAGAGCGGCAAGTTCGCCCCGTAGCTCAGGCGACAACCTCACGATCGTGTTCGGGGGCCCATGCGACGCCTTGAAAACCAGATCCATAGCGGAAAGAAGGCGCCGCTTCAAGACAAAGAACGAAATCCAGCAGCCCGCCAACGATTCAAGAAGATTCCGTGTAGCAAGCCCAAGCTCAATTGCTCAGGAGTCAGGCGGTCGGCTAGCATGTTCCTGGTGATCCTTGAAGGTGTGGCAACAAACTGGTAAAAGCAATCCTTCAAGTCAGCTCCTGAAAACAGAAAAGTGCGGTCACGTGGGAGCACCAAGCTTGACACAGCAACAGCGGATGCTAGAGTTTTGGTCCACCTCGACCCGCCTTGTTCCAGCCCGTTGCCCGGCCTCGCATCAAGAATGAGGCGATCACGAGACTCATCTTTACCAACCGCGAACAGACCAGCACCGAACCCCGCACGCTCCGGGGGTTCCAATGCGGGCACCAAACGCTGAGAATCAGCTAGAGCACGATAAAGCTTCAGCTTCTCTTGCACCGCTGCTAACACTTTCACCTTAGGAGGCGCCGGACATTCGGCAGGATGCTTGGCAAAAGACAAGGGATCGTTGTAACGAGCGGCAGTGCGCTCGTCCATGAATTTCTGCGGCTTGAAGCGGGGTGGCCCTGGCAACTTGATTCTGTCAGCGATGATAGGACGAGCCACGGTGGGAGCGGGGCCACGAAGCAAGGGTTCGTTGGAAGTCCAGGGTTCGGCGGTGGGCTCGAGCCGGCTGCGCTGTCTGGCAGCATCACCCAAGCGAAAACCTTCACCTGAACTAAGGTAACCCCACTCCCGTGAGAGGCTCTCAGCAGCTCGGCCGAGAGCAGCAAGTACATCCGTCTGGGATTCGACTTTCGCAGCATGCCGCCCGAAGTCAGCGGCGGAAAATTCAAAAGGAAAACGCGTGCCGAACATAGCAGCCTCCAGCCGCTGGACACAAAGCTTCTGATGCTTGTTCAGGGGCGTGCCAAGCCTGATTTCCGGAGGGCAAGCAGCCGGCTTGCCAAGGTGCAACCACGACAAACAAGCCACTGCGAGACTGATGCTTTTCAGCTTCCAACCTCGGCGCCCACACGGACGGTGGAAAACGTCAGGATAAGGCACAGGGGACGGCCATGTAAAGCACGTTGGTGCCGACAAGGCACCACCTGCAAGTAGCGATCGAAGAAAGGAAGCAAAAGGGCCGCCAGCTTTCAAAAGGACACGAGGCAGCGAATTCAAGAGACCGGGCACGGACGGTGAGGAGCCCGAGATCCAGGCACTGCGGCTACACGCGGACACGCCGAATCGGGCGACTCACCTGGAGATGGGCCTCCAGTCATGCAGGCTTTTCGGTTTTTCGAGGCCGTCTCGGACCCCTCGGCACATGACCTTCGCCTTCCTCCTGTGCGTTGTCGCTGGGAGGGACGGGGGACGGGTTCTTGGTGAGGCGAGCCCTTTTGTCGATGAACTCTGCCTGATCCTTCAAGTGAGCGATCGCGACTTCGGCCCACCTCGGATCCAACAGTCGCGAATACACCTGACCCGTGTGGTGGTGCTCGTGCTGTCGGTAGGCATGAAAGGGTGGGGCTACCTCGAGTGCCAATTCCGACGAAAGCACCCATGAACCTTTGTCTATGCTGGTTTGGTCCAGCATCAAGAGGCCCAAGTTTAGGCGAGCCCGTGCTTGTTGAGGGCGGTCCGTCCTCAGACAGTCTAAAGCCCCCGCCATGATCCAAGAAGCCCAGACCATTGTGGGAAACGAAGAGATCTTGCTCCTGTGCTCGGTCCAAGCCCGAGCCGAAGTTTGGCCCGGCACCGCTACCCCTGGCGAAGCTGAGGACAAGTCCTCCGACATCAAGCCCTCTATCACTGCACTGATTTCGGCAGGAGAGCTCGCCAAGGCGTCCCGCAAGGCCTTCCGAGCAGCTGAGTTGCGCCGCGCAGAGGGCAATGAAGAAGCCTCGCCCGAACCACCGCCGGCACCGTCCAGGGCTCGCTCGAGGGAGGATCCGCTTCTCGAAGCATTCTTTTGATAGCCCTCCATCATGCGAAACATCGCTGCTGCAAAGGCCTCTGCCTGACTCCCCTGTTTCGTCACAGTCCCCGTGCCGGGCAGTGCGAGTGGATCTTCCGTACCATCGTCGCCTACCCCACCTTCCTCCTCCTCGGACTCCTCGAGACCCAAACCTCCAATATCTGCCGAGGCTCGCGGCTCGTCCTTGAAACGAGCGGTCCGCCCTCGCTTTAGCAACCCCTCCATTTCTGCCAGGGCGGCTTCCGACACTCCAGCTGCTCGAGCTGCTGCAGTGACAGATGGGTCCAGTACCGCGGACGAGGCTCCAGAGCCTCCTCCTGTCCCTGCTTTGAGCTGGGCGGCTTTCTTGGGCCGGGCCTTTGGGGCCTTCGCGGATGATGTAGCAGGAGTCCCGCCTGTGAAGGTAAGTACGGCTTCCTCCAATCGAGCAATCCGCTGCAACAGCACATCTTTCTCTGCTCCCGATTTTGCCGACTCGGCCGAAGCAAAGGTGAAGTGCTCGTTGGAGGCCGCCACTAGGGCCGGTACGAAAGGGAGCAGCTCCTCCCCAGTCTCGCTTCGCCCGAAACCTATGCAATCCTCCGGCAGCTCGTCGGGAACCGATATGGAAGCCTCGGCCTGCGGATCCACAAGCCCGAGCCAAACTCTGACCACTACCGCCTCCAACACATCCCGCCTGTCTGTGCTCACACAAGCGGCGACCTCCGCAGCTCCAACTCGAGACATGAAGCCACGTGGCAAGGTGCGTTTTGTCACTTTGCGGTGCCAGGCTGAGCTGGGCACGGCCATGATAAGCTTCCCCTCTTGTTCTCTCACCAGCACAGCGGTCACTAGCACCTCGGCTCCCTCGCTCGAAGTGCCACAACGAATCATGCCAAGTGGACATTCTAAATCCTCAAAACCGTCGCCCGAAGCAAGGGCGTCTCTCGGAGATAGAGGCCTCCCGTCTTCCGGCTCAGCTTCGCTCATCCCTACCACTGGGAGGGCAAGGGGATTCCAGCTGCAGAGCACACAGCAATGACGTCACCACGGGATGGCACGCCGATGCAAACAGACTGTCCTAGATCACTGCCTCGTTTCACAAGTGCTTTGCAATCACTGAACCGGGAATAAATTCCAACTGGATCAAGCAAGGAACCGTCGAAATCCCTAGTGACTATCCAGTATCTAGATCCCCCAGGCAGACGCTCTCGGCCGGATGGCCCGCGGTGCTCGCCGTCGGTAGCTCGCCTTATGAAAAGACCGATCTCTCGACAGGCAGCTCCCCGACTGCGCGGTGTAGATGCGCGGATAACCTCACTAGAACCACTAGCGTGGGACGCCGGAGCACCCGTGCGCACAGACGAACTTTGGGCTGATCCTGAGCGTCGGGACTCGGAACTAGCTAAGGGGGCTGAGGCTGGCTCAGAACTACGGGTAGGGCTGCCTATTAGTTGGAACTCGGAATCCGAGCTTTCAAGGGCCGCAGACAGCCTGCGAACAGCGCCTTGCAAGATCAAGACCTGGGCTTCAAGGGCAGCCACACGGTCAGCCAAGCTCATCAAAGGAGTCGATAATGCAGTTGGAATCCTCCCGCGAGTCTGCGAGAGGCGGCCCGAAGCAAGGCCGATCTGAGAAGAAAGAAAGCTTCGAGGAGAGGCCAAGCTAAGAAGCCCACAAGGATCCCCAGAGCTAGGGAGGGAAAATGCAAATCGAAATCCCAAGCGCTGGGGCAAAGGCAATCGGACAACGAAGGAGGGAGTGGTGGAGGAGAGTCGGACAGATGGTGCAGGAGATGTACCAGAAGACCGACGGCCGACGACGATCCTACGAGTGCCCTAGAGCTCATCCAGAGCACCAACCGAAAAAGCTTCAGTCATTCCGCCAGTTAAAACATGCTGTGACATGTCTATGCTGAACGTTGCTGAACCGAACCGGACACAATCAAGCTCCTTCCTGAACGACTGCACACTTGGCCCGAAGCAGCTGCCCTGGCCGCCGATTCCTGATGCCTAGCCAATGCGTGGCAGGATGTGGCATGACAACCACTGACAACACACAACAACACGACGACCACGATCAGGACAGTCGGGAGCATGGAGGAAAACTCGTGCGAACAGCTACGAAGGCTCAATGCAAGTGGCAGGCCACTCTTTCGGGTGTCCTGTTGCAGGGAGCACAGACCCCGTTTCCCAAGCACACGTCCTGAGATGCTTCGCAAAGTGCGCCACTCTCCAATTCAAGTTTCTTGCCAGCTCTCGGTCATGTAGAGCCCTGATTACCTCTGCGCCGAAACACCAAACAACAAACACCAAACAACAACAAACAACAACCACAGCCACATTGGGCCACACACGACGTGCAAGAAGCCAACCGATCAAATATGGAAAACTAGCAGCTCACGAGCCCAGGCAGATTGGCACCTCCATCGTTCCAGCTCTCCGCCTCCGGTCATCTCTCCAAAGGTGGCTTCATTCAGGCTCCTCAGACACCACTTTCAGCGGTCGGTCTTACAGGTGTCCCAAAGACTTCGAGGGACTAGGCCACAGGAGACCCCTCCACCCGTCCTCCAGCGCTCCAATGTCCGTATGGACAGCCGGGGCTGCTGTGACTTGCCACCGAAGACGCCTCACGCATACAGCGGAACCCTTTACTTCAGGGCCTCAGGACGTCTATATCCGGTGGACCGGTGACGTGCGGACATGAACAGAACAGGCGCAAGGGCTTTAGAACACCGGGCTGCCCTCAAATCTTCAAGGACACTTGAACGTGAACAACGTGACTGCAACCAAATGCTGCACATCTTTTGATAACACCCTCGAGAAGGGTCAGAAGTGCCTGGAACCGAGGGCACGCCCACGGTGCTCGTCATGCTGCGGATGGACGCTTGGCTGAAAACCTCGAAGGCTCGCGCTCTCAAGGACCTTTATAGGCTGCACCGAGGCTCCCACCATGTCTTGAGGGTGGCCCCGCTTTTTCCGCAATGGAGGCCTGGCTTGAATCCAAGGCTTCACAGCGGTGGAAGTTGTACGATGTCGGCAGAGTACAGGCGGGGCCCAAACAGCAAACATCTCCACCTAGCTGGGACTAGGACTTGATTCCAGCATCACTCAAGCAAAAACTTCTTGGCACTCATGCTGCATGAGCGGGACGCACATAACGACTTCATGTCCGGAAACCACCGAGCTGAAGCTACAACTCCCAGCACCGCCCTGAAACGCCCTGAACTTCCAGGCCAGGGAGAGCGGCGTAAGCTTCTCAAACCGCTCCCGAACTTCTACCTGCGAGCAGGACGCCATGACACGGCTCGGGGGGCGTCTTGCAGTCGTTCGGCCTTCGGTGTCCGTCGACCGTGCATGTAATCCAGGTCTCCAACGAAGAACCTGAAGCCAGCAACGGGAAAGCCGCAGCATTCCGACTCTTCATTCATTGCAGGTCCATGTGCAGGATGCAATCTCTGCAGGTTTAGCAACAGCCTGTCTGACGCTCCATAAACTATCCAATGAGTCTTGTACATCAAACATGTCGGACATGTCGATGTCGAAAGAATCGCATCATGCTTGATGTGCCCTCCCTTGTACTACTCAAGCAGTGCAGCCCCAGCCCTGACACTCCCACAAAACGGCCGGCAGATCTCAGTAGCGCACCAGTCCCGCCCTGTGCCATAAGGCCAGTAGGTGGTTCCAGTGATCTTCCGGAGCCCATACGCCTGGCAAGGTAACAGCCGGCAACGATCAAAACCACCTTGCGTGGAAGACTTGTATTGGGGAATCTAACACCGTCACATGTTGTCTTGTTCTTCCGAGGGTGCCCGGGGACTTCACCCTAGTCTGGTCGTGAAGATGTCCATCTGCAGGCAGTCTGCAGGCAAGACCAGGACAAGACCCTGAACGCAGGTGAAAACACGGCAGAGCACCATTGCAATGCCGTGCTTTGGGCAAATCTCGAGACGTCCGTAGCTGCAGCACCACACAATCCACGGCAAGGATCAAAATGATTACGTGGCATTTCGCCTGCATAACCATCACGGAACAGCCTGGAAACCATGCAACCTTTTGCACCGGCCACAAGTTTCATGGCCAGCTTTGGTGAGACATGCTGGGCCGTCTTCTATGCACTGCACGGCACGGCGCAACGAAGAACTGACTTGCCAGAATGAGCTTAGCAGCGACATGCAGCGACTGTGAAGACCGGCTCAGTGTTTGTACATGACCCCTCAGGTCCGATGGTCCTAGATATCTCTGCTGTTCCTCTGCTTGCTAACGCAGCACTTACCTTTCTGAACATGGCACCAGAGCTCTGCTATCGCCGGAACACCATTCTGGAACACCGCAGAGAGGCTCGGAGATTTGTCATATACTACACCTGCTGTAAAACACTATAACATACCATCTTATACTATAACATATTATAGCATACTGCTCTATATATACATATATATATATATACATGCATAGATGCTACAACAATAAGATACTATAAGATACTGTTAGATACAATAAGATACTAGAAGATCTTGTAACGTACTCTAACAGGCCGATAATGTACGAAAGTTGACTGTAATTTCGTATGATATGCTATAACATAAGCCCTAAACCCTAAACTTCCTGAACCCTAAGACCACTTAAGCCGAGGCCGAAGCCTCCGCCTCTTCGGCCCGGCGCTCCGGGCCAGCGCCCGCAGACTCGGCGGCCTCTGCCTCGGCCTGGGCTTCCTGGGCCTCGGCGGAAGCGCCGGCCTCAGAAGCGCAGAGAGCTGCGAGCGTCGCAGAGCTTAGTATAAAGGTATCCTATTATTATTATGATGATGATGATGATTATTAGTGTTATAGTTCTTTGTCTGTCATTTGTTATGATTATGATGATAACTATCATTTTGGAATGGTACTGTAGAGCAGACTAATAGTACCTGTAAGTGGCCACTTGCGTTGCTCTGAAGGCACCTCTTGCTCCTCCTCGGGCGGCGGGTCGAAGACCGGCGGCTCCTCACCATTGTACAGCCACATCGCCTCTCAGACCAAGCACTGGGACCAAGAACCCTCAACTTCTTGGTGAAAGCCTCCAGTTGCCACTTCTCATATCTTCTTCTCTTGGGAGCTAACCGTTTCTCGCCATGCCCTGGATCGTAAGGCCTTGTCCCGCCGTAGCTCCTCCGCCGCAAAGAGCAGCGCAGTGCGGCTCTGGGCCATTGCGGCGAGGACAACCTGAAGCAGGGCTGGGCTCAGAGAGCTTTGGCAGCGAAGGGTCGACTTCAGACCTACCTTCCATTGACAGCAGCCTCAAGCAGCAATTAAGAAGGAAATGAAACCACTATATCATATGATATGAGATCTAGCCCATGCCTCTTTAGCCTTCAGAACTTCTACTGGTACTTTTCTAGAACAGCCCAACCTCTCGGTCGGCTCGCAGCTCCGGGGCCGCGAAGGCCAGGGCAGTACCCGTGTGCCGCACGGCTGTGAGGACCTCGGAGCTCCAAAGCGAAAGCAGAGGTCCAACTCGGCGCCCCATGGCATGGCATGGAAGATGCCAAGTACTACCAAGACGACCGCAATAAGATCGTCTCCTTCACACCCCCAAAAAATCAATGCGCAGCGGCAACTTAAGCTTCGGGCCACTTCCCTGTCCTCACAGAGCTCCTCGCACCGAGCGACGCAGCTTCGATCAGTCTCTATATGTAGTCTATAATATGGTGTCTGCAATAGAAACAACATTATAGTCTATTGTATAGTGCTTGAAAGGCTTGAAAAGCTTCTGGATGATCTGCATAGTTGGATTTTATCCGCGTCTTAAGAATCTGAATTTTGGTGGTTCCTGTAAGGGTCGCCTGTAAGTCACAGCAGGAGACGATGTGAGTAGTGGCAGAGAGCGACACACTCCGGGCATTTGCGGTCTCTGTGGTCCTGCGTGAAGAATTGCAGCGAGCTGCCGTCAATAGCTGTTGCCTTGAGTGCAACCTGGCAAGCGCATCTTGTCACAGAAATCGGCAGGCCTTACTCTTCATGTAAGTTGCCCGACAGGCGACAAGCGGACTGCCGCACGCATCCGATGCCTCACGGTCGGCGCGAATCTCATCTGCCGCATACGTCAGGGCACGCACATCCTGGCTTCGGCCAACACATTTTGCAGAGGTTCTCAAAGGTGGCAAATGCGTGAGGAAGTCATCTTGGACTGGTTGAGGGATGCTGATTGAATGGCACGGCCACAAGTTCGGCCTCTTTGATCAAGCGCAGCACAAAATCCACATCTGCGCAGATCTCAGGGCTGGCATGTTGCAGGGTATGGTGATCCTTGACCTGAGCTGCACAGCGAAGCGCTGACGACGGAGGTACTAATACTCTACCCGTTGATCAATCTACCCGGTTCTGTTGGGAGCTGACTGCGCTTGCTAGAAAACCGCCTCAAAGCCAACACTTGCACCTGAAACCCGGATCCTTGCATGGAGCCTTTTGATATAGTATCAGGAGTTGGTTCCTCTAGACGATTCTTCAAAGGGTTCTGCCTTTGATAGGGGTTCTACAGATTCTACAGTTACAGAAGCTCTGGTCTATGAGAGCTGCACGAAATCGGAGCTTATGCTTGAGGCCTGCCCTTTCGTAAGCCAAAGCCCCAAACCCAACACCAAACCTGAAAACCCAAAACCGACCCCGACCCCCCCACCCCGCCCCGCTTAAGGTTGCCGTTGGAGGTTTGCGGCTTGCGGCCTTGCTTTGCAGCGCCTTGGGTTGAGACTAGCTCTGATTCTGAACCCGTATCTGACCGGGCTCCTTTACAAGGGTTCCTTTAAGAGTGCTTTACGTTATCCTTCAAGGGCCCCATAATATACCACTTCAGGATGTTAGGTGTTTAGAGTCGTGGGGTTCAGTGTTGTCGCTCTTCTCTTTCTTCTCCTCTTTAACTGGCTCTGTGTACCGAGGCCCTCCCAGGTTGTCAGCTTTCTGACTTTAAATGGTTCCATCTCATCCACAATCCTAGCTACACTTGACTTGATTGGTAAATTCAATGTTGCGTGTCTGTCGAGCCAACACTCTATGCTCCAGGACCACCAAATCCCTCCTCTCCGAGGATCTGGCAGCCGCCTTGAACATCACCTGCTAGAGAAGGCCAAGCATCTCATGTGTGTAAAAGCCAAGAAAGCAGGGCACCTCTGGCTGGCTGACCAGGCGCTGGTTGGCCAGCTGGAGCAGCAAACCCTGAGCAAGAGAAAATGGCAGAACGTGACCCTGACTTGACCATCACAGCAAAGCCACCAGCCTCCTTCTCCACCTCCTGCAAAACCTCATTGCGGTTCTGCCAATGACCCAAGCGGCTCGGGCAGACCTGCCGTCAACATCGCCTACTCCAGGGTCTACGAGGGCCGTGGGCTGCAAGTGTAGGTGCTGCATGCGAGCGTCACTGACTCCAATCACATATTTGCACATCATGAAGGGTAGTGCACAGTGTGCCTCATGCCCCGCAAGTTGGAATCTCAACACAAAGCAAGGAGTTGCCGTACGACCGCGCTGATCGCGTCCAGTCATGCAGTGCGCAGCTTGACATAACGAGGTACAAGCTCTTACAAGTTGTTCCAGGCTGCGGCCTGCAGCCAGACGTCACGGTTCTGCTGAAGTTCCTGTGCACACAATCAGAAGACAGCCGAGAGAAAGCGATCGTTCCGATTCGCCTTCCAGTTTGCGTGCCTGTGAGGCAAACTTGAAGGCCGAGCTATCCTGCTTCGCGGCAGTAAGGACCTCGGAATCCGAGCAAAATAGAGTCTCTGCAGAGTGCACACGTACTCCCCGAGTTCTTTGGTCTTCGGCGAGGCCCTTGTTGCCGCGAAGCTCCGGCGAGGCGAAGCGAAGAGCCAGGCCGCAGTTTTGCACCGCCTTCAGAACCTAAGAAAGGGGGGAGTCGCTGGGCCTGGGTCTGCGAGCGATGCTTTTTGCGGCTCTCTACGGGCACTTTCACACTCGTCCTTTGGAACACGCTACTGTGGACGCCGAGAGGCTAGTTCAGGGTCCGATTGGAACTGCTCCGGAACAAACTCCAGCGCAAGACCATCCTGCCAACATGGCATCATGCTGGACCAGGAAGTGATATCGCAGATGCTCAACAAGGAAGCGAGCTCGTCTGTCCGATGAAACCATTGGACCTTATATGCGGAAGTCCTGACAGACAGCAGCTCGAGCGACCTGCGAAGCCATAAAGAACGGTCTTTCCCAACCTACGTCGTGATCCTCGCACGACATGCACCTCACGGTCTGCTTTGACCTCCGGATCCGCAAACTCGTAGGCTAACCTGGGCCCAACTCTTCAACTCTCCGGAAACCACAACCCTAAACCCTTATTAGTAATTTCTAGAGTACCCCTTCTAGTAAGCCTTATAATATCCCTTATAGTAACTATAGAACCACACAATACACCATAACATACCGTATTTATACATACTATAATACACCATAACATGCGATAATATACTATTTTACTTCATAGACTCCGTAGCGCAAAGCCTCTCAGCGAAGGCCCGCCAGAGCTAAGCCGAGAGCCCGTTTTTAGAGATGGCCTCGAGGCAGAAGTCTCGGTCTGACAGCAGGTCCTGCCATGAATACATTTGGGTGGTTCTCTAAATTAGGGCACTTCTTTAGGACCCCAAAATAATACGGCACCCTTGTAAAACGGGCCCTGTAAGGGCACCCTAAATTTGAGAACTACCCAGTAGAAGAAAGTCCAAAAGCATACTCAATAATAGTAGGAGCAATAAGACTAATAAGAATAGTTACTATGTTGTTCATACAACAACAAGAATAACAATAGTAATAGCGACAATAACAACCAGAATAACACCGATAATAAGAGCAGAAATCATGATGGTATGTAATAAGAATAATGACAACAATAACAAGAGTAAGCAGAACACTAATACTCATACTAAGACTGATATGGATTCTAATACTAATACCAATATTAGTACTACCAGTAGTACTAATGGTGATACTAATAATACCAATACTAGTAATTCATACTAATACTAAACACAATAACAATCATAAGGATAAACAGTAACAATAGCAACAATGTGTGATAAGAATAATGATAAGAAAAGGACATGAAGACTCATTATAATGATATTAATAAGTCTCCTCCGCCACAAACTGCAAGGAGCGCACCTCCTTCTTCAGGGCCTGCCAGAACCCTACCCGGCGACCGGCACTTCTTCGGGCTGGGTTTTCTTCTAATAGCTTTCTGGCTTTCTGTGGGGTCACAGATGCTTCTTGCAAGTTGGACTCAAGGACAAATCTGCAAGTGCAAATCGGACACAAACGAATTGCAATCGGAGGATCGTGCTTACATGGAACACCGCTCCACAGCCTTCCACACCTACGCTCTGGACACCGACATTTGCAGATTCTCGCAGGGTCATCTAGTTAAGCGACATAATCACATCCAACTTCCCAGACCTACATGTAGATGCTTTTGCACGCAGCTAAGGGCATAGTCTCGTGCCTTGAAAATGACATCCTTGTCTCTTCGGAGCTCCTCTGCACAGCATCGGCCCGTTTCATGCGATTTCGAAAAGCTTCGTCCCAGAGTCCTCGGAAGCCCACTGAAGAGCCCAGCCATCGCTTTTCAGCGCCTTCAGAACGACCTGCAGCTGGAGCTCAGACGGACGTGCCGCAGGAGGCTGGCAAAGCATGCACCCGAGCCTAAGCCCAGTTTAACACTTCCAAAAAGAATGTGTATGTATGTATATATATATATATGTATATATATATATAGAAAATACATTTTATATATATATATATATATATGGTGCAGCGTCGC